CCCTGCTCTTTTAATTTTTGAAAAAAGCCCTTTCCCTCCCGGCCTGGGGGGGTTGGGGGGGGGGGGTGCCCAGCCCGTGCGGCGAGGCTTTATCAGCTGGCACACGGCCAACTACGGTTCTTGCTCCCTGTTGAGAAACAACGTCGCAGCACAGCGACTCTCTACATAGGACCCACCCATCTGACACGCGGCGGGCGCCCCGACCGCGAGATGTCGCGAGCCGCTGGTGTGTGGTTCGTTGCACAGGTTGTATAAACGTAAGCAAGAAGGCAGAGCGCTGCTGTGTTTGCTCAACCTGTTCGTGCCTGGCGATCCAGAAGCATCTTAGCAGTCGGGGTTTGTCGGCCTGCATGCGAGCGGATTCCACCCCTCACGGTATGCTTCCTGGGTAACGCCGCTCCTGGACAACGAGGCGGGAGCGCCCGCTGCTGTTGTTTCTCCATCGCGCTCCCATTAAGCGGCGGGCAAGCTCGTGGGAGGGCACCCGGTGGCAATTGTCAAACCGCCGCGAATCAACAGCGGGGAAAACATGGAGAACCAACTGCTGATGCTGCCTGCCCTGCGCATTACCGTATATGACACAAGATAACACACCCCCTGGACCGATTCCCAAAGCTCGATTACTCCACGACGAAGAGAATGCACAAACAAAACGATACATTTTCGAAAATTTCTCGACGAGACGATTCCAACGCTGCCGTTTTCGGCGCCGTGACTCTTCCTGCTGTTGAGAAATCGAGCTTTGAAAATCGGCCAAGGGGGTGTGTTATCTTGTGTCATATACGGTAGCTGTCTCCACCCCCGCGCGCAACCCCTAAACAAACCTTCGACTGCTGGCTGTACTTCTCAACCCCCCCCACAGGTGCGTCTGCGCGCTGCCGCCCCCTGGAATCTCTCCCCTGGCTTGGGATGCAGGCGTTTCTACGGTGGTTGGGGCGGCCAGCATCGTGTGGGTCAAGCTTTGGACTGGCCTCGCGCGACGAGACAAGATGAAGCCGCAGGTGTGGGCTTTTTGGTTTGCCGTGCACGTGCATCACGTGTGATGGTTGTGGTCCGGTTTGGTATGCTGGTGTACGGGGTTGTAGTAGTGTGAAACGGTGTGGCAGGATGTGGTTATGGGGTGGATGCGATAGTTGAGGTGATTTGAGATGGTACCGGTTGGGTTGGGTTGGGTTGGGTTGGATTGGATTGGTATGTAGTTGTGAGGCACTGTAGTGGCACACCAGTGAAATGCAATGGTGAAAACTTGTGGGCAACGGCCGACGCCCGTGTTGCACACGGTACTGGTTCAGGTCTAGGCTTGAGGTGGGGTTTGGCGCGATAAAGGCAACGTAGCTGGAGACTTGAGACTCTGATTTTGTGTGCTTGCGCTTTGAAGGCAAAAACTCGATTGACCACCACCATTGGTGGTAAATCCTCGAGTATGTAGCTGGGGACTTGTAGACTCCGATTCTCTGCATTGTGGTTTTGCGCTTTTGAGGCAAAGAGCCGATTTGACCACCACCATTGGTGGTAAATCGACGTTCTTTTCTGAGCTTGACGTTCAAGAGAAGGGGCTTGTCGCATACCAGGTTAACGTAATAGTTTTCATCTGTTGGTGAATCAAACCTGTCCTTGTCTGGCGCCCTTCTCTCTCTCACACGAGAGGCGCCTCACTACTCTGTTATCGTCCCGATTGCTTCGGCTTTCTCTAAGACAGGTGTCTCGTAAGGTGGTGCACACGACGGCAGCCCCGTTGTTCATGATCTTGTGGCCTTTCTTCACGAACCGCCCCTGCGCGAGGCTGTTCGCTGCCGCGGTGAGGAGAGCAAGCAGTTGACACGTGATGTGCATGGTTCTTCACCCTTTCGTTTGAAGTGGTAGTGCAAGAAGGCGGCACACATCATACGTGGATATTCGCACGTGCTGATGTTTAGCAACCCTTCAGCTTAGTTCGTTTGTGGGCGTCATGTTTTTGTCATGCGGTTTGTTCTCTCTCTCTTTCTCTCTTAGGTGCCGATGTTGCAGGCGGTTCGGCTGGCAGCGGCGGGACTCTCTGGGGACCCTGAAAACAATGACTCCAGCAGCAACGAGCTCGTCAAGGCGATATCGCGCTCTGGAAAGTGAGTCACCGATGTACTGCTGGCTGACTTCAAAACACTTTTTCCCTTCCGCATATGCTTGTACTGCAGTGGTATTGGTCCGCCATGTCGCAGGGTCAAGGGGGTATTGTTGTTTGTATACATTTAGTGGCCGCAACCAAGAGTTGTCGCTGGCCGACCAAAATCGGGATTCCTGACCACCAACCACTGTAAGTCGAACCTGCTTCTTTTCATTGGTGTTACACTTGTTCCGGTGTGTGCCACGTTGGGCGGACGGAGTGGTTCTTGGGTGACCCACGGTTGCCACGGCGGCGTTGGCTGGGGGTTTCGGCATGAACCCGTCGCCGATGGCGCGTTTGACCTCGACCCTATCGCTGCTTGGACGGGCAGGGCGTCCGAGACGCTGGATGGGCCGCTCAAGTACTCTCTGGCCATCGTGCTCATCACTGTCGTAGAGTGGCGGACTTCCGTGGTTGGGCTTATCGCGATGATGCAGGTACATATGCGCCAGCGGAAGTATATACGCATATGGTGCTGCTTCCTGAAGATGAGAGAGGCCGCCGCGTTTTGACCTTTGCTCCACGGAGCAGCCTCGCGGCCGTCTTACCGAGAAGTCCGGATGACGACCCCCTGTTTTGTGAGACGCTGCCATGTCCAACGGTAACACGACGGGCTTACGGGATTCGGGTACCGCATAGACACATTGCCGACAGGTAACCCCAATCTGTCCCCGCAAGCACGATTTTCAGCTGAGTGCCCTCCCTACTCACACGCTCGGTGTTTGATGCGTATTGTTCAAGATGGCGGTCGGCGATGGGATGGCGGACTTGGTTGGGCGGCAGTTCGGGAAGCACAAGTGGCGAAAGGGGGGCGAGAAGAGCATGGAGGGCTCGGCCGCTTTCGTCTCGGGATCGTTCCTTGCGTCCGTGGCCATGATACAGTGGTTCCACCACTTCGGGCTGTTGTCGGTGAGTGTTTTCCTTTGTTGTTGTTTCATGACTTGGTTGTGTTTTTGCTCGGGCTGTTTGTCGGTGAGCACTTTAACCCCTTTGGGTCTAGGCTGGACTGTCAGATTTTTTTTTTTGCGCCAAAAAAAAAAATGAGAGCGAGAGCGAGCGGGAGAGAGAGAAGTGCAGAGAAAGAGACCAGTGTACTTCTGCACACGCAACAGCTATCTCCACCTGTAGGCCATGAGAGAAGCCGGCGACAGGGTGGTGGCCACAGACAGGGTCGTACAAGGGTTGGTGGGTGGTCGCGCTGCGGTCAGTAGGGCAGGTTAGCTGTGTAGCCTTTGAAATGATCAGTCGTCTAGCTGCCTCAACTAGTCTATTTTCGGTATATTGTAAATGATCAGTCCAGAGAGGGCAAAATGATCAGTGAAGACCCATAGCTGGTATTTGTACTTCTGTACTTCTCTGTTCTCTGTCCCCCCCCGAAATGTGCCCTGCCAACTCTCTAGAGCTCCTGTGTTTTTCAAACAACAAGCACATCCACCAGCACACACCTGTACCTCGTGGTTTCCTAGGTTCGGGCGAGGGTGGTATGTGTGGCGCTACGAGTGTGGATGTGTTGCTGATATGTTTTACTCGTCTACAGCAGTAGTAGTAGTGTTGTTGTAGCGTTCGTTGTTGTAGCTGTTGACACAATGACTGCTGGATCTTGGGAACGATTTTCAAATTGTTGGGAACCACACGATATCCTCGATATCTGGGCTTCGGCAGGGACTGCAATACCCCTCCCTTTTGCTGTCCTCTGCTCTTTGCAGCAGTGGCTTCCTACGTTCGGGAGAGTGTATGTGTGGTGCTGCGAAAGAACACATATGTATGTATGTAGTACTGTATGCACACACGCGTTCATTGACATGTGCATACGTTGTGAGATTCATGATTTGGCATTTTGATTGGCCCCATTCCCATTCCCGAGACCTTGATATTACCCGCTGTCACTGAAGTCTCTTCATTGGTCAGCCGGTTAGTGCGGGTGCTAATAATCTAGACACACCTACCTATGGACTTGCCAATACACGGCGCGAAGGGCTGCAGGGCGGCAACTCCACGACTTGCCACTACACCAGCATTTGCAAATGATCAATCAATGATCAGTGAGAACGCCTGAAGACTCAAAAGGGTTAACGTTGCTTCATTACTTTGGTCTATCTTTGTTTTTTCTACATAACTTTGTGTTACACTTGTGGCCAGTCGGTTGATGTTTGGTTCCTTGCATCCATCTGTTTCGATGTTTTCGTGTGTTGTTGTTGCCCGAATCGAGAATCGATGGACGACTCCGTTTTCGTGAAACATCAAGGTTCGTTTTTTCCCCCGTTTGAAACAGAAAACAGCAACGGATTTCGAGTAGCGGTGGGGGATTCCCAGCGTGCACTTTGTTACCGACAGGTGTAGAGCAGCAACAGGACAGACAGCGGGCGCATTTCTCTCTCAAGGACCCGCGTGCACATGGTCTCAATCCGATGTTCATTGGTGTTGTGTTCTGTGCGAGTTTGCCCCCCGCCTCCCCCTAGGCAGGAAAATACGTTACCTGTACTGGGGCGTTGGGGTGAAACGGCGGTGAAGTGATATCGAGACAGGCTAGGGAAAATATTTTTGAGCCACGTCTTAGTCTGAGGCAAAGTCGGAAGGAACGACGGGCCGTCGGTGATCGGTCCTGTGGGAACAATCCTCCGTCCTCTCGAGGACGCGTGGTCAATGAACTTACCGTTAAGGCATGCCAAAACATGAGTACGCCCCCCTCAAGGACGCGTGGTCGATGACCCAACAGCTCAGGCATGCAAAACATGAGTATGCTCCCCCGCCGCCTCCCCCCCCCCCCCCCTCACCCCTACAACCTTCACCTCTAGGTTACGCCGACGGAGGCGGCGGCGAGAGCGGCGGCGATATCGTTCGCCAGCGCGGCGGTGGAGCTGTTTCCGCCACGGTTGGTAGGGGACGACAACATCAGCGTCCCCGTCACGGCGCTGGTTCTCGGACGGCTGCTTTTCGGGAAGTGAGGCTGACAGATAGATACGGTTCGCTCGGCGACGGTGGAGGTGGAGGTGGCGGTGGCGGTGATGGGGCGTCCCAACCATGGTGGACTCTAGGCTGGTCTCGGCGACTCTGCGCGCGCGATATGTGTATGTGTGGTGCTGCAGTGGTTAGGCCGCAAGACGGCGGCATGGTGGATACTCTTGGGTCGGTACGCGGTTGATACGCGGTGCAGTGGAAGGGCCCCCCGGTTACCTGCTGCGTGGAGGGGGGGTTGTTTGTGCTTGTTGGTTGATTTCGTTCGGTTGGGATGGAGGATGTGTAGAACCCCCAGAGTGTGCTCAGACGATCAATCTGTATTACGGACGCACGATAATTTTTCACGCACTGTTTGTTCGAGTCGCGCACACCGTGACCCGTAATGGTACGAACACACATTTTTTTGGTTGCCTGGGTGAGAGTGGGTTAAGCACCATACACATGCGAACAAGTAGTCTACGTCGCACTTCACAATGCGCATCAGGAAGTCTGCTTGGGTAGAAGGAAGTTGTGTTCGCGCGAGTGTTTCTGGGGGTTAGCGAACGCTTACGCTTGCCGCTATATCGCCTCTCGGCGGGGGGATTCGTTAGCCAGCGCCACCGTACCATGTACTCCTACGTATGTATGAAGACTAGAGAAACCACGGGGACCCCTAGCGATGGTCTCGAGAGAAGTCAAGCCGGGTGCGTCCTTTTCTTTTTGTTTTCATGTCCTACCTGTTCTAGGGCCCAGCGTACACCTATCGGAATATGTGTGACGCCACCAGTCTGATGAAAAGGAAAACTCACAATTTACGCAAGCTTGCTGACGCTGAAGTCAGAGGAGAACGGAGGTACACGCTCCAAGATAAAGAGATGGTCGCAGTATGGGACCGTAGTATACTGCTGTAGGCTCTAGTTGGTGAATACCCTGCGTGCGCCACTGCCGCCTTAAGCGTCTATACCCGCAAGGCGTTGTGTGTTAGGTGTAGAGCGGCTGGTGTGCGTGAGACGACCGTTGTACCTGTAATGGTTCGTGAGGGGGGGGCGGGGGGGGGATGACTCTTCCATTGACTACAACACCGATGCATCTTTTCTGCGGCATGACTATTGTACAGGTGTTTGTCGTGTATGCTTGACCTATGTAGGTCTTTTTGTGCGTGGATCGGACAAGGGAGTACTGTTTGTGAGTACTCTTTGTGAGTGTTATGAGTTGTCTCACACCACGAAACGGAGCGTTTTTTCACAGATCAACGCGGCAGCGGCGAATGCACAGGCAACGGTAGCTCTCCTTCTTGACCGACCACTGTATCAGTTCAGCTTGGAGGATGCTCGATTTGCTTGCTTGGAGTTCAACATGTGGTTGTAGTTGTGGGCGTTGAAGCATCCGTTAATAGTTACGCGGGAAAGGAGTGACGTACGTACGTTGGTGAGAGTGGGTGACGCACCCCTCCTCAGACCCAGCGGTAAATGTTATGTACGCGTCTGCTGTCCAGGTCATGGCTGAACGGACGGTCGGTTCCGGTGTCCAGATATCCACTCCTGCTTCCGTTGGATTTTGTTTTTTCAGCATGATGTGACGTCGCCAGAGGAACGCGATACAACGATAAGTAGGGGTGATAGCATGACGGTCGAAGCTGCAACCCTCATCAATTTACAACGTAAAGAGAACGAACGTACCATGAAACATTGATGCTGCTACTGTCGCTAACAGCAGGGAAGAGGATTTTGTTTGGTTTAGAAAAAAAGCGGGCGGAGCAGGGTGAGGAGCGCTGGTAGACGGGATGAGAGAGCGCGGTAAATGCGATGGGTTGTATCCACACCCATATGAGCTATATCTGTAGTAGAGTAGGTCGGCCGGAGGGCTGGGGTGGGAAGCGGCGAGGTGCAGCGCTACAGGCACACTGTTTTTAGATTCTCAGGAACGTGAAGAGAACGCAGTATAAGTTTTTCAGAGCACCGCAGAAAGGATGGTCGCGCGGGAGTCGGGGTGCGCGGGGAAGAGATAGCGGGTAAGTTCCGCTTCGTCGACGAGGCTCGATGTAGGGCAGGCGCTATGTACCATCGCGGTATAGAGGTGGATGGTGTCAAATTTGTCCACGTGAATAATCGTTTTTCAAGGATTTAAGAGCCAGGGCAACAGGCAATGCTCCTGCGTCGCCTTCCTCCCGTCAGATTAGTGTGATACCGGCTGGCGTGTTCGTATTTTGTGGTGTTGCCGAAATATGGTGGCTGCAGAGTATGACTGGAATCGAAGACACCGACCGCAAGTCACACTAGTTTTTCGAACAATTGGTGTTTTTGCATGCGGAGAGAGAGAGAGAGAGAGAGAGAGAGAGAGAGAGAGAGAGAGAGAGAGAGAGAGAGAGAGAGAGAGAGAGAGAGAGAGAGAGAGAGAGAGAGAGAGAGAGAGAGAGCGAGAGAGAGAGATGTCGGAGTGATGCTCTCCACAGAAGAAGTTGAACGTTTCGTCAGCCCCGTGGGTATTGGTTGAGACCGTTAGAATTTGTTGAACCACTTGCTTATTCGCCTCGAACGAGTGAGTTCAGTACGCAAAAAATAAAAGGAAAGACCAGGTTAAAGGTTCTACTGCTGCATGCTGTGTCTTTTCATAAGGCTACGGAGATTCAATTCTAGACTAATACTGCTGCTGTAACTACTGCTGTTGTACGGCGAAAAGCACCACCGACAACAATAACAACTGGATCATTCTTATCCGAAATGACCGAGAATCATTTCACTGGGTTCGAGTTCCCAACCTAGCATCCTGCAGACGGCCACAAGGTGTTGCCAACTGACCTCGGGGGGCATGCATATTTGAGGTGAGGAAATTCTCGAGCGGGTAGTCTTTCTGTGAGATTATGTTCACTTCTAAAAGTGCGGTGGTGGTTTTTTCGTTCGGTTTCGCTCTTTTTTTGTTCCGGCAAACTACTAGTCTACCGTGCTTGTGTGCTTGTTGTACTGAACGCGAAACGATATTTTTTATCTAAAAAAGAACTCACCTCCTCTCTGTCCTCTGTCCAACTGCCAAGGATGGGTGAGTGGTGTATGACCTACCAGGGTTGCTGCGTGCTTGCCTGTATCCGTAAAATGAAGAGTAGTCTAGTCTGCCGTCGACGCGTGGTTGGTCCATCCAGTCCAATAGCCCATCTTATCGCCGAAAGAGGGGTACCGCAGCATCATGTTTGTCGGGTGGTCCGCAGAGAGGAAGATCGCGCCGTGACACACATACATACAAGAGAGCGCTTCCCCCCCCCCCGTCGGCCACACAGCAATATTTGCCGGTTCTCGCCAGTAAATGCCCCCGATATCGCCCATGACTGAAGAACTCATTCGCGCTCGTGATGTTCAGGTGTGTGTGTGTAAACAGGGAGCAGGCATATAGTCTGCACACTCGACGTAGAGCATGCATACGTGAGCAGGCAGTTAGATCCTCGTACCACAGATTTACAGATCACAGCCAGCTTTATTTTGTTGAGAGTGTCGGCATCACCTTGAACTCGTGCAAGACGTACGGATCACTGCCGTAAATTGTGCTACGTGCCTTGAGCGGATCATGCACATCACCAGGTCACATGAACACCACAGTATAGTTAGTCTATAGCCGTGCCAACCAACCAAACAACAAGCTGTTTTACGAAACGGAAAACACTTCGAATCCAGTCAATCGACCAGGCTGGCACCACCGTCGGTCCGTCTGCTCTTCATTGTATGATCAATATGTGTGTCGTCCCTCTCCTCCCCAACCCGCAGCCCGCCTTGACCAGAAGATGTAGCATGAAGTGTTGTACCTGGTCTACCTGGTCGTTCGTAGAGCACTGCTGTATGTAGTCTATGCGCACGAGGCAGACAGATGTCGTACTCGATATATCAACAACAATTTTTTCAGTCTGCACCACCAGCTCTATCGCCAACAGACAAATCTTACACCTATGTACAGTATTAGAACATAATATACCACTTACAACAAGTCAGCAATGTTTGTAACACAGCAAAATGTGTGTGGTGCCATCCAACCTCAGATCTTCGTATGATCGTATCTATCTGCAGACTGGCCACCGCAACGTGCTCCCCACGGGCACCGAGGTGGTAGCCTCCTACAATTGGAGCACGAGGTCGAGAGAGGGGCACCCTCGCATCATCGTCCCTGGCGCGCCGCGTAATTATGTCAGCCGCATGAGCCGTCACGGGTTCGTCTTGGGGAAGGACGGCGGAGGTTCATTTGTCGACGAAAACCGGGCGCGGATGAAACCATTCAGCAGTGCCGAGCCGCTGTTTCGCTCCCTCGACATCTGCTCCCCCGATTTCGACATCAGCACGGTCGACATCGTGACGGATCGCCACAACCTGAGGAGCCTGCTCAGGTTCTGCCGCAGCCCCGGGGACACGTGAGTTGTGTTGGGTCAACCACGCGGCGCATACCGCGCAACCCCGGTAGCGTTCCTTTTCTGTACGTCAAGAGGTTAGCTAGCGGGTGGGGGGGGTGCGGATTTTTTTTTTGATGTTAACAGTTCTGTCATGTGCGTGTCGTGGCTCGCTTGATCTGCTACTACTCGGGGTTCGTTTGTATTTTATCCACTGCTATGCTCTTGGCCCCTTGTACAAGCTTTGGGGATAGAAAGCACAATTTACTGGGGCATCGGAGTCAGCGGGCACTCCGCGCAAGCAAGTGCGCATTTTATTTTTTTTCATGCACGTTGAAAGGCTCCTGATGAGCAATAATTTTGGAAAAAGTTGGCGCTCCCCCCGCTTCTTGCCGCTCGGCAACTTGTCGTATAATTCCATAGCACCACGGCCAACGAATTTGGCAATCAGGACTTCAAGTTCATAATCCACTCCATTGGCGACAGCAACGGACACGGCGACCCGACCCTGGTCTTCACCCGGGCGACGGTAGGCCATCACAACATTAACGGGTACGGCCACAACTTCGAGAAAAAGCTCACCGAGAAGGATCCGCATGCTCCCTGGGACGCCGGGACGTTTCGCGTCGTCACGAAGGTCGAGAACTACTGTACCTACGTACCTGCCCATCGTTCGTAGAGCAAGCCTTCCGCAACGTTTGCACCATGATGTCGAAATATTCTGGATGACTACATACGGCACCGACGCACATAAAACACGATGGAGAAAAATTAGGCTAGTTGAATTGAGTGTTGTCAGAACATTACGTATCGCTTGTCCCCTCTAATCGTAGATCGATTGTACATCTAGAGCATCACAGACAACTTCTCGTTCGAGATATTGCTCAGAGGGGAGGTAATGAAGTCTTTGTCTTCACAGCGGTATTTTTTTCCCTCTTCTGATATCCCTCTCGCTGGTGAAGTTGGGGTCAAGCTTGTTCCCCCACCTTCCTTGCACGCAAGTGTTCTGTTTAGTCCGTTTCTCTGATGAAAGCTGAGCAACACGCGACCGAAGATTTGCGCACGTTCCTGACTGCTGTAGAGTTGTCCTCGTTTGTACGCAGATTTTTCATCGAACGCGCCCTTCCCCGTTGCGTGTGTAGCCCTCCCCAGATGAACATGGATGGAATGGCGCTGCTCGTGCGCTCTGAGGTGGACGCCTGCGACGGGACTGGTTCCACCAGGCTTGTTCCTGCGGGGAAGGGACGCGCCTCATCTTCCGGTGGTGGTGGTGGTGGTGGTGGTGCAAGTACCTCAGCCAAGGCTGCCGCCAAGAGTACGGAAGACCTGCTGGTTGAACAGCTCGGTGGCCTGGGGCTCTCTTCTTCCTCGCCGGGAGGAGAAGGCAAGAGTGAGGTGGGCCGACGGATTTATTCGTGATTGTTTGCTGTTGTCTTACAAAAGAAAATGAAAAACAAGATTGAGACGAACAGGGAGCGTCCTGGCTTACTTAACAGGTCTCATATATTGTTTCGATTCGAGTACCACACATTGGGGGGGGAGTCAATCCCATAGAAGCAAGCAGCGTATTTTTGCCATTTACACAATATCGGCGCCAGTTCTCCTTCGGCCTCGAATCGCAGCGGCGATTGTGTTTTAACTTTCTCCGTCGAAGCACTTAAAAAAGGCCTACAGACAAGCGTAGCCTCGCCGCTAAATAACACAACCACGCGCACCACAACATAAGTAATTTCCTGTTTTCCTTGTTTGTTCGCCTCCCCTCTCCCCTCCCCTCGCGGGCATGCACGCTGCCGTTCAAGTCGAAGCCGGCCTCTGGCCTGACGTGCGAAAAGAGGGGGCAGCTTCTCGGACATGACGCCAAGGTGTTGGAGCTCAAGACCAAAAACTCAAGGTATGATGCGTCGTCTTCTTCGTGCTTCTAAACAACGACATGAAACGTGGTTTCTGGGGACAAATCTGTATGCCTGGGAAGCACAGGCTGCACGGCTTGACCGAGGCTCGTTGGGGCAGAAAACCTGGGCTATTTCAGCAACCAACACCGCTATTGCAGAAACAAGGCTGGTCATCATTTGTGTTTTGAGAATACCAGAGGGTTGAAAAGACGGGAAGTGGCATCGATCGGAAAAAATAGACGGGGGAAAACATTTTTGATCCGCTTATAAGGAAGGAACGATTGGCCATCGGTGATCGGTCCTGTGGGAACGATGCTCCGTCCTCTCGAGGACGCGTGGTCAATGACCTAACCGCCAAGGCATGCAAAACATAAGAGTACGCTCCCCCCCACCGAAGTTTTTCTCTCACCGCGCGTACTCACCCTTTCAACCCCATGCATGCCGCCCCGAAGGTACGCCAATGAGATCAGCTGGAAGGACATATACTGGCAGCTGACCCTGGGCGGCGCTCACGCGCTGGTCCTCGGCCTGCACAACCGCGGGACCTTTGGTGCCGGGGACACGAAGCACCATTCCATCGGCGAGGTATGGGACAACCCTACGAAAAATGCCTTCAACGAGAACACACATGACGCGCCTCAGGTGTAGTAACGTTTTTTTTTTTCTTGGTCTATAAGCATGCCGCCGTGCCAACATTTCTTGTTGAGAAAGCAAGCACCGAACGCCCTTCAATGTGACGCCGTTTCGGTTGTTTCGTATTTGGATTCGAGATAGAGTTGTCGCGTCCGGCGTGGTGTGGCGTCGATGCCCTCTCCCACTTGGCCCGTTCCCTTTCCTTTGCGATATTCCACCCGTAAATGCCAAGCCTGTTTTTGCGCCATGGTGAACGCATCAGGACCGGTGTTATGTTTTGCAGTGACTTGTGAGCAGATGTGCCCGACAACAAGGGGGAACGGCGCGAATCGATAACCTCCACTAGGAGACTATTGTGTTCTTAGAGCATTTATTTCAAGCATTGACACCGTGCTTGGGGATCAACGGTGACCACTGTGCTTGAGGATCAACGATGATCTTCTCCCGGAAAAGCATACCATTATTGACGACCGAGCAAACAGAACGAAACTTTTTGCAAGAGCTGACCCACCATAGCGTGCAGACAACCACGTCATCGTGTACAAGTATGTACGAGCCGTCGCATCTAAATATGTTCTGCTATTGTTGTGTACGACTGTCCGTGCACCAGGTCAAGGCTCGCGCGGAAGAGTCCGGCTCGGCGTCCATGGTGTTCCTGGCGAACACCCTGCGCGGTATCACCAAGGCGGCGCACCGCATAATCGGTGCCGCCTCTACTACACCCGCGCGCCCGGCTGCGCCTGCTACGCCGTCCGCTGCCGGCGGTGGTCGTGGCGGGACGGGAACACACGGCGAATCAAACCCCCGTGTCGCCGCCGCCGCTGCCGTGGTCGTCGAGTACTCGCCCGGCCGCGACAGCAGGTGCATCCGCATCAGGCTTGCCACTGCCGCGGATGGGGCCGTTTCTCCCTTCTGAACCAACGCGCGACACGCATGGCGACAAGGATTGGCAGCCGCGAAAGCCGAGCAGAGAGGAACGACAGTTCACCACTGCCCTGTACCTGTCAGTCTGTGACCGATAGGGCAGTGATGACCCGCCCTTCTCTCTGCTCGGCCTTTTCTTGCTGATTCAACATGCGTTGTTCGCCCGTTCGTTCTGCGGGAGGCACCGGGGCCAAGCGACCTGACGAACTACCCGTTGGCCTCACGCCTGCTCTGATACTATAATCCATCGACTAAGCACAACAAAGCGTGCTTTGTGCGAGAGATCATCACCGTTGGATTTCGGATCAGCCAAATCAAGTAGTCTAATCCCTTTTCGTTTCTTGCCGTCGGATTGTACGCGTACTACAGTAGGAGGTTTAACTATTGAAATGTCGTGACTATCTCTCGGGCTTCCCTGGTAGCTAGATAGCTCGACAGGGTAGCCTAGCAAAGTAATCGTCAAAGTTGGAAGATTTTTTATTGGGGAGGGGAGGGTCGTGAGTTACACTACAGTAGTTTCAAGTGGGACGGGACGAGGGACGTCCCGCCTTAGAAGTACAAACTCACAAGGAAGAAACTCGCAAGGAAGGGTGGACTCCACGTATTTCGATGTCAGTTTCACAACTCGTCGGGGCGTCAAAGGCAGTGCCAGGGCGAGAGAGGGCTGGGGAAGAACCCACAACCAAGAGTAGTCTGACGTGTTCGCGCGATCAAGGCCGACAGAGGAGGGGGGGGTGGGGGTAAACGCATGCCGTAGTAGTCGTTGAACCATTGACCTTGCGCCCCTACAACGCCAGGACAAAGAGGGGGGGGGGGGTTGTTTGAGATATATGAAGGGATGCATACGTGTTGCAGACTAGTTTTGGGGCGAGGGTGATTTGACTATGGGGAGGGCTTAGGGAAGGGTTTTCTTTCCGCATTTTGGAAGTGCTTGTCTTTAGTGCACTCCAGGGAAGGTACTGCTCAACCCTTCTCGCGATTGGAAAATGAAGAGAAGTAGGCGTCGTGGAGGATGCATTTCGTGCCACCTAGGGTTGGAGTTTTATTCAGCTTGAGGAGCAAGATCGTACGATAGAGGGAGAACCTGGGCGAGGTTGACACAAGTTCGGATGGCAAAGGCAAAATAATCACGCTTGGCTACGACAAGCCAATAGGTAGGGCGATTCAGCCCTGGTTGTTGTTGGACGGTAAGAAGAGCGCAGAATAGGTAAAAAAAGTGGGCGCATTCATGCAGTATGTACGTACCCCGTACTTGGTCCTATGGTGAAGGTAAATCGTATCGTGGTTCACTGGGGAAGGATACTTTCAGTGTGCGTTATTCTGGGCGCCAGTTTCCACCTTTCGGGGTATGAGTGGAAGAGAATGTTGCGCCGGGGGGGCTGTTACGACGGCACTACTAGTAAAGTGTTGTGTGAGGTTTGTCCCACTATAGTTTCCCCTTCTTCGTTGGGATACTCCCGAAGGTATTGCCGTAGCATTGTTCTGGTGATCTTGGATATGGTTGGGTTGGATTTGTTTTTCGGAGGAAGGAAATGGGCATATTCTGATAGGGCATGTTTGAAGCGTCCGTGTTTCCGAAACTTTGTGGGATTTGGTCAATGTTATCGGTGGAAAGATTTGTGTTCTAGGAGACTATCGATGAGTTTTGGTTCGTTCGGATTCAGAACTGGATGGAGTTCGTAATGACGTTTTGATGATACGCTGTTTCGAATGACGGTGTTCTTGGTAGTTTCTATGCATGAGGATATTTTGTGTTTCAGCGACTCGAGAGAATGATGTGTATTCGTTCAAGCATGGTCGAGAGAGATGCCATCGTTGGTACAATGAGTACTACCAGGACACCTTCTCGAGAGGGTGCATTAATTGAGGTCTTCTTGGGTATTCACGATAGGTAAAGCTTAAACCGAAGATATGTTGACTCGTGTTGAAGGACTACTTGGAAGGATGACAATGCCGTTTTACCAGGCAATTTCTAATGTGGGGAGTTTCTGAGATCATATCTCCACCGAGAGCTGGGGGTGTTTGGTGTACTCGATCTAGATATGTTCTGCGGGGCCTCTGTCCTGTTTGGGTATGGGTGAGATAGAGACTGCAGGGCCCCGTCCCTGGTGGTCGCGTATTGCTGTCTTGCTGCCCTCCGTTCGATTTGTGTGTGGGTTGGGTCGAGAGGTGAAGACTGATTGTGGTGAAAAACAAGAGAAAGGCAGGCAAGGGTACCTCCACTTCTTGGGTCGTGACTGAGACCGTTCGAGTGCTAACAGAGCACACACCCGCATCAGACGAAGAAACACAGTACGCAAGCCCGCGTCGGGGACCCCGCGGATGTGTGTCATGTTGGCTAGGTAAGACTGGCGTCTTTCCATTCATCAAGAACGAACAGCGGAGTCCCCCCCCAAGAAAAAGTCCACAATCCAATTTGTTCGCTATCATTGCCAGGCCACTACAGAAAAACCAAAACAAGAGAATTACACGCTCGAAAACACCCTTCAAGACCCCACTATGTACAACAACAAGTGCAATCTCCGAAAATCCCCAAGCCATCCGACATCTACATGAGTACCGATCACATCGCAGCACTCTTCAGCCACCGAGGTGCTTTGCTTCTTCTTACGCTTGGTTCACTCTGAAGAGGACCACGATTGGTACATGAGATTTTCGCGACCTACATCTCTATCACCCACTACCGGCTAGCGGTCGTGGCTATCGGGGTACTTGCTCGACAGCATCTCCTCCATCCTTCGCCGCCGCCGCCGCCGCCCCTCGGCTGTCTGAAGCAGCAATAGAGACAGCCTCCTCCTCGCCCGCCGGACACGGCTCGCCGTTTCTCTTTCTGCCGTCACCGCGACCGTTCCAGCTCTCCTTCTCCTCCGCGCGCTCTTCGGCCATTTCTGCGTGAAATTCAGCCCCAAGATTATTTTTCGGGGAGACGCAGCGGAAAACGGCCGGGCAAGCAGAGGTGAGTGACGGGGCCTTAATTTTTTTTACGAGTTTGTCTTTTCTCGTGCCGGCCCCCCCCGTCGGGCCACTCGGCGCCTTCCTTCTCCTTGAGAAGTTGAGAAGAGAACCGAAAACGGCAGTCTACTTGTAGAATAGAAGCAGAAGGGGGTGGGGTACCCAGCGACTAGCAGAAATCGATCGTGGCTGTTCCCTCTACATTGTGTTGTATACACGGGTCCTCGCAATGGTGACCAGACGCCAAATCTCGTTCACCCGTCCATCCATTCGATGCCCTGCCGCCCTTCCGTTCTCGCGCTACCCTGACCAACGCTGCACACAAATTGTTTTGCTTTACGTGGGCCTCGGAAACATATCGCCCCGGGTTGAGAAAACTTCACACATAATCGTCCTGCATGCCTCGCACACATGCCACACAAAAAACGTGGGTTAGTTTCCTTTGGACCCTCTATCTCTCGTGCGGGCCTTCACTGCTGCCCGGTCTTCACATCTGAGGTGACTATGTAGCCGCAAGGGATGAGAAAAAACAACAACACAGATGCCACTAATACCGCCGCGGGCATCAACAGAGCGTCGCAGAACTTGCCTCTCTCCGTGACGCCTTCAGAAGAACCATTCTCGGAACCGTTCTCGGAACCGTTCTCGGAACCGTGGTTGCCGTACTCCTCTTCGTCGGAGTACGAGGGAGGCATCATGTCCTCCATCGAGACGGCGTCGCGGCGGGAGTTGGCCTCTTCCTCGCATCGTGCCAAAAACGCCGCCTTTTTGAAAAAAGCGAAACCAAGACAAACAAATGACGGGATTCGGAGTACGTTGTTTTTTCGTGTTCCTTGGGTGGGAGGTGGAACAGTGTTGTTCAAAAAGTAGACAAACGAAGAACGGCAGCAAGGACATTGCAGACATACAAAGACTGACAATACGAAAGATAGATGGGGGTGGGGAATTAACGATGCGAGGGATGTGCGCCAGTACAAGGGGGAGGGGCAGCGAGGAACCGTGATAACAAAAATACGAATGACAAGTGTTATAAAAAAAATCCCCCTCACGCAGCAGATCGGATCACGTTGTTGTCTTTGGATCATGCCAACAACAAACAACACAGACCGCCAAAAAAACACAACACCAGAAGCACAGAGTCCCACAAGGCCAAACATTGGTAGAAGCGCGTCAGGCGGCACATTACCTGACCACACAGCACAGATGTCTGTACGAAAAAAAGAAAAATCCGTACCAGTACACCTCTGTTGCGCTGCTCCTTAAGTACCAAACGATCAGATTCGAAAACCAAGCATCTACTAAAAAAAAAAAATACTGACGTCAAGGGACTAAGAACACGACGTTGCTCCTAGTATTACCCGGCAGGCCAATCCGGCGAAGTGGAAACACGAGAAACGCCGCCGGGAAAATAATCCCGCCGCCGTGACACACACTCACTTGGGCCTTGACCACCTCAGCCCCGTCCGCGCACGCCGCGTAGGTCTCCAGGACATCCTCGTTCACGCGCAGGAACTCCGCCCCCCACCCGAACTGGTCCATCACCTTCACGGCCTCGTCCTAAGCGCGAGAAGCCACACACAACAACAACAAAAAAATACACTCAGAAGCGTGTTCGCAAGGATTCAAGAAGACAACCGTGCGAGAAGCCAAACACAACAAAAAGAAATACCTAGAAGCGTGTTCGCAAGGATTCAAGGAGACACCCGTCTATTCTTGAGCCGTAAGAGTCGGAGTGAGCGTACGGGTCGCGACAGCTTCGCACGGGACGTTTGTGTCAACAACACATGGTAAGTTGGGAAAAAAAAACAAGTAACCGCTCATAAAAGAAGGGCGGGAGAGACTCTCATGCGCTTTCGGGGGAAGTGTTGGTAGGTCAGGGTGTGATGGTGATGGGTTGCCTCAAGTGTGTTTGTGCCAAAAGAGATGAAACCGAGAAAATTGAGGAAGACGGTCGCCCGTCTGTGCGGTCGGTGGTCATCCCGAATCCCATGGTATGCCCCCCCCAAGCACTCGTTCGAAAGCCTCACGTTTGCACTGTTTCGGGCCACGTAACGTTGAGTGCTTTCGTTGCGCACCTCTTTCCACCCTGCGGGTTCATCATTGTGCCAAGCGATAAAAACAAAAGTCTTGCATGGGCATGTTTATATGCTGTTGTGGGTGCGAGCAACACACGCTCCTTCCTCCGTAGCGTTGCCGTACTGTTCGCATCCTTCTAGAGACACGCATGCGTGTGCGTCATCCCCTTCATTTCAGGACGTCTATTGTTCCACCTATTCGGTACGGGTTTTGCACGCGCCAGCCTGGGTCACACACGAGAAAGGGTTTCTCAAGGTGTCCGCACTTTCCTTCTGCCGTGCTCGCCTAAATCGTGCAATCTAGAATAACCGTGCTCAATATCTCATAGTCTCGTGTGTGTTCTGGTATGTCCTCATCTCATCTTGCACATTGCGTTCTGACCGTCATCGTCTTTTCTTCCATTTGGCAAAGTATGCCAGGCACCAACTGACGTATGTCTCCGCACGTCGAGAGGACGCCCAACCGTGCAACAAGGACGCGAAAACGTAGGCCAATCATGGCAGCAGTACGTCACCGCATCACCTTCGGCCAAGGGATACGATTGCGATTGGTCTTCCAGTCCGGTTCAATTCAAAACAAAAAAAACACAACAAGTCACGATCCCAGAGTTCATGAATGAGCAAACAAGTTCCCACCATACCTGGTGCCCCACGATGTACAGAGTGGCCGCTATTGCCTCCGCGCACGTGAGCTTCATGGGTTTCCCGTAGTTGACCGGGTTTGCCGCGACGAGGAAAGGAAGCAGCCGGTGGTGGCCTCTCCGCATCTGAAGGCAAGGTCGGAGCAGCAAGAACGCGAGCGAAGAAATTCGGACGAGGAACAACGAAAGAGAGAAGAGACCACACACGACCTGCAAAATCCTCCGCATTTTACGCTCGCTACTCTACTGCTGCTGTGTTCTCGAGCGAAGCGATTTGTTCTTCAGCTCGCACTCCGGTTCAGAAGGCCGCACGCTAGATCGCTGGACGTGAACGGAGAAGCAGCAGCACACTGGAGCGTAGGTATCCATATCGTTGAGATGAACGAACGCTACCGTCATCTGGACGGATGATACATGTCGGGAATGGAGGGGGGGGATGCAGGGCACCCGATCCCTCCGAGAGACGATGGTCATGATCGCGGAATGTATAGGTAAAGGCTGCACCCCTCTTGCTGTTCCCCGCGGGGCAGATGGCCCAGCACGCGTAGGTACCAATACAGCTAAACACACCGCCGGGAGCAGGGGCGGACACGAAGCCACGACTACCTACTGGTGTCTCTTGCGGGCGACACGTACCTGGTGGAAAGGTATCTCGTCGAGTCGGGCCCACGAGCAGTCTATCACCGACATGCCCAGAGTCTCGACGACCTCCTGTGGCGGGTCGCGAGAGGGGGATTACATGTGAGGGTGAGGGACAGGGGCGTTGGGGGGGGGGGGCAACAGTGAGGGCGACGACATTCACAGTGGCAACGAAGATAGGAAGATACCTACAAGAATGTAGCGAAGCTAGGGAGGTGCGGGGGCGAAACAGACGGAAAGCAACCACAAGCATCATCAATGCGCAAGATCAAGCAAGAGAGGCGTCTACGTGGGAAGCATCAGCGGAACGAACTAAAGCACCGTGGTAGTAAGTGTGTACGTTCGGCGACACCCAGGGCACAAACGTTGCAAAACATCACCAAGATATGGGAACGGATTGGCGTTGCCTGGAATTCAGTGACATGGAAAACGTCCTCAAGCCTGCTGCTACTCAATAATCGTAGTTCCGGCTCCACGAGGGACAAAGGTTCTACGGTGCTACAAAGGTCGAGAGCACACAAGGGTTACAAGGCGTTGCGAGTGTGTCCCACGCGCAGAGCGCGCCCTTCTGCACGGCAAGTAGGCCAGACATTGACTGCTACGGAGTACACAACACCTGCTTGATCGTCAAATACATTCCGCCCCCACCCCCCCTCCCCCCTCCCCGAGCTTACCCTGTCGGCGGGCGACACCGTTAGTTCGCCGTTGGGGCTGAGCACCAGTCCCGAGAACGGCGCGCCAAGCTCCATTTCCCGGACGAGTCCTGGGAACGGGGGGGGGGGCGAGTCAGCAAGCGTTAGCAAGAGTGTGAGAACCACAGCAGGTGGGTAACGCATGGTTGGGATAACGCGTCACGGTTGCTCGGCAGAGTTATACGCTGCTTTGACTCTACAGAGCACGCGCTTCCGCCACCTGTTCGTGTACACATGAGGGGGTCTACACACACCAGTTCCTCCTGCATCGCTACGTACAGCAGCTAGACAGCTCGCCGGGCGTGTAGACCCGCTGACGGTTCAAACGAACTCTCTAGCGCCCGATATTTCTGTGAAGGGCACGACAACACACAGGCAAAAACGTCCGCACCATATACGGCATTTACAAGAGGGCCTTGGCAGCAGTCGTCACACAGCACTAAATACTGCTGTAGTCTACTCTGCCTCTATTTAGACTACAGCAGTAACTGGATTGCTGTGGGGTCTTCCCGTACTGGAGGTGGTGGTGTGGTGCGCCTCGGCAATCGACTTGGTCGGTCTCTGAACAGCAGTCCTAGTATAATTCAAAATGCACAGCGGGTTCGTGACGAAGGTGAGGCCTCTGCATGGACATCAATAACTACTGCTGTGCCAGCACCATAGGCGCTACACCATACGATCACGCCGCCGTAGCAAGCAGTTGCTGGCGGGAAGAACAAGACCATCCATGACCTCCAAAACCACACTTATGATATGTAAACAGCACTACGCGTACTTGTACATGTACTGCTTGCTGTATATGCCACCGTTGTGCCGCCGCTGTTCTCACCGAGCCGGCAAAGCTTGCGACCCGTGCACTTCTTCACGTCACACTGCTCGAAGTCCCACATGCGAAGGCTGACAGTGATGGACTGGGCCAATTCCCCCGACTCGTCCCTCTCGCGATCGATCATCTCCCGTGCTGCTCCTCCGTTCCTCCGCCAGCTGTCGCCTTGAGCATGATGTCGGTGGCCGTGACCCCTACCTTGTGACGACTTTGGCCTACCGCCCCTGCCGCGGCCGCCGCCGCCGCCTCTACCTTTACCTCTCTTCCCTCCACCCTTTCCTTTCAGTGGTCTGTCACGCTCCATGCTAGCGGTGCTGCTCTCACGCCCTGTGCAGCGGCCTTGCTTGCTCTGCCAGCCTTGTGTGGTTTTCAGTCTCGTGGGGCACCGCGATATACTTTGCGGTACACCACAGGTACCACGGATCCTGACAGTCCCGTGGAAAGCGCGCAATTCCTAACGGCTACTTTTCCTGTCTTTCCGCCGTCCAGGCGCCGCTGTCCTCCCCCCCCCTTCCGCTCACTCCCGCTCTTTCCCACCTCTCTCAAGCTACACGCCCTGCACTGAATCAACAGCAGTCCGATCGCGTATACGAGAAAGCACCGAGAGAGCGCGAGTATAAACTACACACCCAATCCACAAAATCATCATGGCAGCTACCCGCGCAAGCGAAATCGCCGACTTCGAGGCATCCATGTCCTTTGACGCCCCGCTCAGCACCTCGGTCCTGCCGCGGTGGCAGCGCAAGCAGCTCCAGCAGCAGCAGCAGCAACAGCAGCAGCAGGCCCAGCAGCAGCTCAAGGACGCCGCGGACGCCTCTACCTGCTCTGCTTCGTCCTCGTCATCTTCATCGACGTCTTCCGCCCAGGGAATCGCGGCGCCAGCGGGCGGCGAGAGACGGGACCGCTTCATCCCCAGCCGCTCCTCCATGTGCATGAGCAGGTCCAACTACCTCATGAGCAAGGAGAACGACGGCGGGGAGAACACGGCTCCCGGCGGCGCTGGATCCACCGCTGCGGCCGTCGACGGCGGCAACAGCGGCGAGTTTCAGAAGGTGCTGGAGTCCAACCTTCTCGGCCACCCGCCCGCCGCCGCCTCGGCCCCCGGCCACCGCGTGCTCGCCTTCCGCAACAAGGCTCCCGCGCAGGAGGAGGGCTACCAGAACGGGCTCCGCGTCCTCTACAGCCAGAACAAGGGCTCCTCCCGCTCCTCCTCCTCCGGCTCCGCCCGCCCCACGCGCCACATCCCCTCCGCCCCCGTCCGCATCCTCGACGCGCCCGACCTCCTCGACGACTACTACCTGAACCTGCTCTCCTGGGGCTCCAACGACGTCCTCGCGGTGGCCCTGGGCCAGTGCGTCTACCTCTGGAACGCCAAGAGCGGCGACATCACCGAGCTCTGCAGCCTGGAGGGGGAGCAGGACTACGTCTCCTCGGTGTCGTGGACGGCCAGCGGCACCCACCTCGCGGTGGGCACCGCGGGCGGCGAGACTCAGTTCTGGGACTCGTCCACCGTCACCATGCTCCGCAGCATGAACGGCCACAGCGCGCGCGTCGGAGCCCTCGCGTGGAACGAGCACGTCCTCACCTCGGGCTCCCGCGACACCACGGCGGTGCACCACGACCTCCGAATGCAGCGGCACGCGGTCGGCACGCTACGAGGGCACACACAGGAGGTGAGAGAGAGAGAGAAAGGCGTAGAATATACGAGTCGCTTGTACTGATATATGTATCTTTTGAGTACTTTCGTTGTGTTGCGTGGGTCCGCCTCCGCCGCGTGTTTTTTGGTCCGGTGCCTTTGCCGTTTCAAATTTCTTGTTTCTCACTTAAACCTCGAAACACTGTTGTGCCGAACAGCCACGCGTGCAGCTCGCGTCCTGAAATGTAGTATTAAAGAGACGGAAGTATGTATGCATATCACAGCAGCAGCAAGCTATTTTTTCCCGATGTTGTTTTACGTGTGCGTTATAATACACACCTCTTGGCGCATTTTTTTCCTGTGTGTCAAGGGCCGGACTTGACTGGTGAACGGATTGGTTTATCGTGATTGCTACTCACATACCGCACAAAAAAACAAGGACACAAAAACCTTTGTCACACGACACGACCCGGTTGACCTAGGCATCGGTGTTGTTGTTGGTGGATGCGGTGTAGGTGTGCAGCGCGCTTGCTGTAGTGTAGCAGGTATTCATGAGATGGAAGCATCACAGCAGAAGCGCGTTATACATTCTCCTTCGTTTTACAAAAGTGTGCGCTTCATATTTTGCAGTAGCGCCTTTTGTTTGTCGTGTGTGTGGAGGGCCGGATTTGCCTTAGTGTAAAGTGAAGTTGGTTCATCGTGCACCATGACAAATGGAGCAAAAAAAAGCTTGCACACACGAGCCCTTGTCTACCACACGAGCCGGTTGACCAGGGCATCGTTTTTGTGGTTGTAGGTGTTGGTGACGGGCTGTTCGCATGACTTCCCCCCCATGACATGACTTCCCTCCCAAGACATGATTCTCTTTTTATCCGTTCATGCCTGTCTCTAGCACAACCCCTCTTGCTTGCTGCTGTTCAACGCGAAGACATTTTTATCTTTTCCCGTAGTCACTTTTTATCTAACTAACTAGGCGCTGCCACCAAAAATTAAATAATCCCTACAAGCGTAAATGATGCATGCATCCCAACCTCCGATACTCTAGTTTCAACTCAATAAAACCTCTGCCCGCGCCCCCCCTCCCCCCCCCCCCTCCCCACCCTGCAGGTCTGCGGCCTGAGCTGGTCCCCGGACGGCAGCACCCTCGCCTCCGGCAGCAACGACAACACCTGCTGCCTGTGGGACGCCTCGGTCGGGACGGGCCGCTTCTCCACGGCGGCGCCGCGCTTCACCCTGACGGAGCACCAGGCGGCCGTCAAGGCGCTCGCGTGGTGCCCGTTCGAGCGCAACACTCTGGCCACGGGCGGGGGCACCGCCGACCGCTGCATCAAGACGTGGAACGCCCAGACCGGCGCGCTGCTCAACTCGGTCGACACCGGCAGCCAGGTGCTCTCCCTTCTCTGGTCCACCACCGAGAAGGAGCTGCTCTCCAGCCACGGCTACGCCGAGAACCAGCTCTGCCTGTGGAAGTACCCGTCCATGGTCAAGACGAAGGAGCTCTCCGGGCACACCTCCCGCGTGCTCCACATGGCGGCGTCCCCCGACGGGCGCACCGTGGTGTCCGGCGCCGGCGACGAGACCCTGCGGTTCTGGGACGTGTTCGCGCCCCCGTCCAAGTCGTCCTCCGACGGCGGCGCCGGTGGCCGCGGCGGCGCCGCCGGGAAGATGCTCTGCGGGGGGCACATGAGCGTCAGGTGAGTGGTAAGTGCGGGCCGCACAACACGCGAGGTGAGAAGAGGGGTGCGCGTTTGATTGTTGTTGCGGCTGCTGTGTTTGGTATCGGCTTGGTTTACCTGTGTCCTCTGTGTCTGCTGTATGTGGATTGTACAGCCGTTTGTGTTACGTGGGTTGTATTTAGATGGGGTTGGGTCCGCGGTGAAACTGTATGCGGCGGCACCCTCCCGACCAAACCCGAGTTGTGTGTTGGAGTCGTCGTTCCGAAGTTGCGTCATTGTCTGTGTCCATTCGCTGCTGTATGTGTACATAGATGTACGCTTGTTTTCGTTGTGGTTCAATTACGAAGTAGTACGCGTTCTGCTTTCGGGGGCTTCATTTCCATTTTTTTTCCTTGTGCTTTGCGTATCTTGTGCTCGTCGGCGTTGGGGGCCTTGGCCTCATCATTTTGCCGGCGTACATGTGCTTGTTGCGGGCGTGGTGTTCCGTTAGAGCGGCGTTGTTCAGCCAATCCGATCCGAAAAGTAAGGTGCGCGCGCGTGCGGTCTAGGTAGCTTCCGGGTCAGTTGTTCCTCTCGCTGGAGCATCTGTCCAACCCCCCCACATTACACGAGAGAAAATATGCCAGGCGGAATGGCTCTCTGGGCACGTGTTTCTCGACACGACCAGTGCTTGCCTCCCCCGCCACCTATTTTTGTGTTGTCGCCAGTGTTACGTGTTTGGAGCGGCTCCCGCTACCAGTGCCGTTGATCATAACATGGTCAACACCTGCTTCGCCAAGTCACCGTTTTTTCGACGACCTGTGGCTGTTCCGGATGGTGGCTTGCTGCCTAGTGTGCTCACGAGCCGTCCGTAAGACCACTGCGCACGGATGCCCCCTCCCCCCCCGCCTCCGCCTCTTGGCCGGTATGTTACTCGTTTTTTGGGGCGGCCGTGATTGGGGTGTTAATAGATTTTTGGACACAACCACTGCGTGGCTCCGTTCCCGCCCCTCGAGACATTGTTTCCTCGTGGTATCGTTCGTTTGTCTTTTTGAAATGCAGTGTTGAGGAGGAACGCATCAATGCGTGCTTCCGTCCCCCAAACCCTGTCACGAAGAGAAACGTGTTTTACTTTACGGTGATTCTCTACAGGGGGGTTCCAGCTGTTGCTCCCTTTGTCTCTCTCTCACCTCTCGTTTCTGAATTGATTGTGTCGTTTGTGCGAGGGGTGCGGGTGCACCTTTGCCTTTGGGTTTTGAGGCCAGTGTTGAAAAACGCGTGGAGAAAGAAACACGAGAACCAATCGCCCTCGCCCTCCACTTACCCCGTAGACTCCGTGCTGTTGCCTGCCGACGGATGATTGTCTATGCATTAATTAGTTCGGCCTTTGTTTTCGTTTCTGTTTTGTTGTGGGGAGCTGTTGCAACTCGGTACCTCAACACCGCGTAGAACGTTTTTGAGGAAGCGGACGATACTTCCCACCGGTTGCGCTTACTTTCAGAGTCTCGTTGAAGATCCTCGCCCATTATCGTTCCTTGAGGTGAGCTTGGAACACGTGCGTTGCCCTGCACCGGCCAGGGTATCCTCGCTAGACTCATGTGGATCGTTGCCGAAATTTCGAGGAGTGGATTGACTTCAACTTGCGCGCTCTACCACCAAAGCCCACCCGACACCAATGTTCTTTTCAGTTCCACCGCCTGCTCTGCCCCTTCGTTTTTCTGAATTCTTCTTTCGCTTCGCTCATCACTTTGCCGCCCAGCTTTTTTGCCTTTCCGTCATCCCGTTTCTGGAGTAATTTGATTGCGTGATTTCTTGCCGGGTCTTGCGCCAAAATATTTCCAAGTCTCCTGGTTTGTTTTTACCTGTCCAGCCCCGTCTGCACCACTCTGTATTTTGTTTGCAGTGAAACTGTCGTCGTGGCTCCTTTAGCTTGCTTCACCACCGTTTTTAACACAGTATCCAGTGAGCATGTGCTCAATTACTACTTCGATTCCTTAGTAGCTGTCTCGGCCCTTTCGCCGCCGCGTCTTCGTGGCGGGCTGTCTCGTTCGCGTAGGGGTAGCCGTTCTCTTGTTCTTGGACGATCCCCTTCCCTCTCTAGTTCCCTTGAACCTGTGGCCGTTGTTCATTACTGTGTGGCGTCATGTACTACGTGCAGTGCGTGTCTCGGTTGCTTCCCCGTGCTAGCCGGTCGTCTCGGTTGTGCCACTCTATTGCCACTCCCGCCCCCCACTCCCACTCCCACTGGCCCCCATTCCTCCCTTGTGCGTGATGAGAGGTTTGCAAGCAAGGCGTATTGGAGCATGTATCCGTTCATTGCTCCTGTGCTATGTGCTGGTGCCGTTAAACGAATGGAACGGGAAGGACACGGGGGGGGGCAGTGGGACCAGCTAGCTTCCCGGCGAGCTGTTCGTCCCTGGGAACAAGCGGTTATTTTCTGTAGTTGTGGGTTGCCGTCTTCTTCAGCGGCATCGGATGCGGTAAACAACATTTTGCATACTGTATGTATGATGGGGAGAAGAGAGCATTGCCAGGTTCGTTGTTCGTGTTTATCTGCACGAACGAGTGAGTTTCTGGCCAGTTTCTGAGACTTTCGAGTGGACCCGATGGGAGGTTGGCTGACTGCTGACCTCTAATGGCCTCTAGTGCGATGATGCGCTCTGGGAGGTGTAATGGGCCATGTCTGGGAGTCTTGCTTCGAAGAGTTCTTGTCAGTGCTACGTTCGTTCAGGTCGTCATTTCTTTGCCGATGGACGACATGGCGAAAGAATGATTGTTTGCCCTCATTGTTCCCGTCGTGTGGGCGGGCAGCTTGTCAACCCAATAAGCGGAACAGGATGCTGGATACGATAGGACGCGCGTTTCGCTCTGCTTCATTGCTCGAACGACGTCGTCGTTGGTCCATGTTTTCGTCTTCGGCGATCCTTTGGTGGTGTTGGTGCCGGAATGGTTTCGTCGTTTCTTGCGGGGCGCACGGACAGCCAGTCAGTGTCCGCCTTCACTTCGAATGTTCTTGGTTGTGTGTCGATTGCAGTCCAACAGGCGGTCGTGCAGCGGGGTGTTTTCCATCCGCCTTTCGTTTTCGGTTGACTACATTTATTTCCCAGCGATCGGAGCCATGTGTACTCCGTTTAGCCTCGTCTTCAGAAGTTTGTTTGTGTTCATGATTTCATCTCGGTGTTGTTATTATTATGTCGTTGGAGGAATAGATGCACATATCATCGACTTTCGTGCCGTGACCATCATCATCGTCGTATGGTGCCTTTCTTTGCAAACATCATTGCTGTGGGTGTCTTGTTTGTTGTGGAGGAAGCAAACACTTATTATTGAGGTTGCTTCAGGTGGTCTTTTAGTAGCACATGGCCAGCCACTGTTCTGTTGTTGTTGTTCTCTTGTGGAGAATTCATATTTCTTGTTTTGTGGCACCTCAAGAGGGCTGGTTCGAGAGAACACGTCTTAAAATTCAAGTAACGCCAATCAATGTTGTTGTGATGGCGTCAAAACGCCAGTTAGTTGTTCGTTTATTTCGCTTTTTCCCCAAAATCTGATTCATTCGGGTTCGACGGTAAGTAGCAGACTTCGGTATTCTTGCGAAATTTCTGAAATGTAAGAAACAGAGAGAGTGATGCCTGCTGATTGACTGGATGATGCAGACAGTTCTATCCCTGGGTGCAAGCGTAAAAGCTGCCTTCCCACCTGACTGAGCCTTCTCTTGTCTTAAAATGTTTCGGGGGGACATTGTTATTATTATGTGGGAAGACCTTTTAGACGACAACTCGCGAGAGTAGTGTGTTACACGGAGCACGAAAAGAAAAGGGTTTTTCAAGAGATCCCTCTAGAGAGAAAGGGAGACCCTCTCTAACCCAAGCCCTAGGTTTCCCGGTGCCTCCTTTCATCGGTTGGCTAGTAGGTGATTCTTGCGCGCTTGCTCCTATTTAGTATCATCGCTTTCTTTCCACCCAACCAAGGGTAGACGGACGCGGCGCAACTTCGCTGTTGAACCCGAGGCATAGTATAATCGTCCTGCGATTCGACCTGTCATGATCCTCATACATACGCCTCCACTCTACAAAGCATCTACACTAGAAGACTAGAGTTTGTTGCCCCCCTGTACCCCGGCACCCCTTGTCTAGTTGTTCAAAGGAGATAAACTAACCAGGTGAAGAAACATAGATAGATAGACAGGGGAAGGAGGGGATCTAGCCCTGATGGGTTTTACCGACCACGTTCTTTACTTCCCAGCATTTCGCCCCCCCCCGGTGATATTTCTTTGGGGAGAGAGAGTTGTTGGAAGTGGATCGTTCGTTGGTTGACACCTGCTACTACTTGTCCTTGCGGCTTTGCGTGCATATTATTATATACCACAATAATATATATATGCGCGTGTGTGTGGCTCGGCAGAGACAAATAAATATGACCTTATCCTAGCTAGCTGCCGAAACGTCATCTAATCTATCTTTGTTTTTTTCACATACATACATACATGTATGTATTGTATGTATGTATATATATTCCATTTTGTTGCTGTCTTGTAAAAATCTGATCGATCTCCAGGACAAAAAAAAAAAAACGTTTGACCTTGCCATAGTACTACTGTAGTATCAATCGTTGCAACTCGTCATCACATCCTAGACTTCCTTGATTCGGCACATGCTTATCAGTGGTACACACTTTACATTGTACCGACCATCAACGCTCCCACGATCAGATGGGAAGGTTCCGCGGTCACGGTCGGTCGTCTCTGATAGGCATCTACCAAGCAAGGCGCCACCACACAAAATCAGAAAAAGCGTTTGCGAACACACGGAGCCCACGCACGTACGCAAAGGAAAATTGTTCTTGTCTTCACATGGTACATGAAAAACCGTTCCTATCTCGACGTACCCTTTAAGTGCGTGTACAACGCCGTTTAAGCACCGTTTTTTCGGGGGGGTTTTATGTGAGGGAGGTCCTTTTCTCAGCCCACAAAATCAATTGGGCTTCTTACGCGGCGTGTTGTGGGATTACACGCGTAGCGATCCCTGAAGACACTGATGAAGACTCACTTGTTTATTAATCTCTTGGAACAGCAGTGCTTGCTGTTGCTTATTTGCTCTCAAAGGTAGACTGAGCACAGAGGGGGAGGACATGCTCCCTCTAAAAGGGGCCACAAAGGTCCTGTCCCCTGTTTTATCCTTCCATCGGGAGTTACATCTCCCGCACTTTCCTCTGGGAATTACTCCGCTGTACCGTTGGCACTGGCTACATTCAAATCCCATAACACTAGCCCACCCTGGAGGTTCTCATACATACGCAGATACTTGAATCCTAGGAACTTGACAAATAATTGTTGAATCCCAAAAAATGAAAGGATCGAGGATGTGGAGCTCCAAAATACCAAGAATCACCTTCCCACACCTCTCACACGATGAGTCGCAAGACCATCGTTTGACCCAAGCAAAAAGAACGAAAGAGAAGGGAAAGACGGGGGGCTAAGAATGAAACAGGGGGACAATAGACACGATCATAGAAAACGTCAACGCTACAAATACCATAGCAGGTCGGAACCCAAAGAAAGGAAGAAAATGCTGGAAAAACACCGTCGGAACGGCGAAAACCAACCGTACCGACAAAACGATACAAAACACGAAACAGTCGGTGTCGCCCAACGACTAAAAGCGACGAAAATACTCACGGCTAGCCCGTATAAGCTAACTAATCACAAAGAAAACCTAACGACGCCATAGGGCGACGTACGCAAAAAGGTAAGAAACCAATCGTTTCGACAGCGAAAACCAGTAGGGGGACATGACCCAACATAAGGTCCGACGAAATCAAACCGCCGCGGGGAGCCGAAAATAAAGCTCAACCACGCGAACGGCGAAAGAAGCAGAAAGGCAAAAAGGACTCGAAAGACAAGACGACGTACCAGGCGGAAACAAACCGATCGCCAGAATGACGGAGAAAAAGGGGTCGAAATACCAAAACGAGGCCTAACACTGCGCTATCCAGAGGCAACAACAGCCTACACGTACTTGCAAATGAGAGGACCGGACGAAGGAGGAACATGCCAAATTCCTAGTTCCCAAACTCTCACTGGCCAAATAGTTCCTCCTAGGATTCCAGCTAGCGGGTAAGAAAATAGGCCCATTGCCTTACTTACTGGATCGGCTGATGTTTTCCAGCTTGGAAATGGGGGGGGGTTACACCCGGATCGTGCCAGAAGGAGGAACTACACCGACCGTCTGCTGCCCAAACAGAGGCCAGTATCGTGAAGCCATGTACAAACCCTCTGCAGGTAACTAAAATTCAGGGGGTTCTACGTTCTGTTGGCCGCGCGCGAGCTGAAAACGTCCCTGCCGCATTGCTCTACTGACTGACGTTCCCTTTCGGCCGAAAAGAGTCGTTTTTAATTCCTGCCACATGCTGCATGTGTGACCAGTCGAAAACGCACGCCAGAGAGAAATCTTTAGGCCGGCGACACCACCCGCAAACTGCAGCCAATGGCTTGTGATCATACACATACCCTCTGCTCGCGTCCCAGAAACAGGGCGTATTGCTCAGTTTTGATTGCACACACGGCCTGCAAACGTGAAGCGAAGTGTGTTTCGGTGTTAAAATTTGTTTCTTTTTTCTTGTTTCCACCGCGTGTGTGCTCCGTGTGTCTCCCCTTACCAGTCAAAAACGCATGGCAGAGGGAACTTTTCCGGTGGAGGTGGGCCGGGTTGATCCTCTCTACCAGCTCTTAGCATCACCCGAAGGAATTGGGTTTTAGGCCGACGACATCCACAAACTGCAGCCAATGGCGTGCGACCGTACAAACACATGCCCTCAGACACACCAACAGGGCGCTCTGTGTTTTTGTTGGTCGGACACGAGAGATAATCACAGGGCGCTCTGTGGCTTGTTGATCGGACACGAGCCGAAAACTTGAGTTGACCTTTTTCTTAGCTGGGAATAACAATGCCTCAACGAACCATAAGAAGGTCGCTCGGATCGGGTTTCTGTTTCCCTTGCAGGCACCCCCCTCAGAGAGAGGGAGAGACAGAAACAAATCCCAGACAAAACGGTGCTTAAGAAACGGCTTCATGAAATATAGCAGCAACATCACGCAGCATTGACCAAGAGAAATCACATTATCCGAGGAAGTTCGTTTCTAGGAGGCGTGACGCCGCGTCAGGATCGCCACCACCACCATCCATCGCTGCTGCTGCTGTCCGTGGGATTGTCCTCACCACCGCCCGAACCTTTCCGCTTTGTTTGCTACTCTGCAATACTTCCTCGATTTTCGCCCTCTCACCAGGTGAGCTGAAGCTGTCTGCTACTGTTAATGGCAGGTACTGTTGTCGGCAGGTACAGGTGTTGGTGTGCTTCTTTCTGCCACCAACAGAGCTGCTTTCAGCCCAAAGGCAGCGCTCCCAACCGATGAATCATAGCTCCACCGTCGTGGAGTATTCCACCTTCTTGGTCCTCTCTACTGTATTCCCGAGGGCAGCCTGTTGCTAGCGTTTGTCCATGCCTTCTCCCTCTTTCGCTACCACCGGTCAGTTCCTTTTTTCTGACCTCGCCCCTGTTTAGACTGCGGGTGTTTTCGACCGACCTGCTACAATTGAGTTCACAACCGTCCTCCGGGCAACCTCCCAGGCTCCCCACATACACTCGCTCGGTCGCGTATGCACCGGTGGCGGCAATGGCCTAAACACGCAGGGGGGCACAGGTGGCGAGAGAAAATGAGCACACTGCGTCAAAGACTTTGTATTCTTCTTGCGAATGCGGTTGCAAGGATACTTCGAAGCATAAGGCGAGCTGTTCGCCCGTAAGAACACGTACGGCAAGAGGCCTGCTCCTGCTGCCGACTGCGATCGAAACATGGTGGCGAGGTCTCGCCCAAACCACATTGCTGCTGGTGTTCGGGGTTGTTGTTGTTATCAGCGGCTGTGGTGTTGGGACTACGCACCTCTGCCAGCGCGGTGGCCTATTCCCGGTGGTGACGATACCGAATACGACACAAGATAGCACTCGATTTCTCAACGGCAGAAAGAGTCACAGCGTCGAAAACGGCGGCGATGAAGCCGTCTCATCAAGAGCTCCCCGAAAATGTTTCTTTTCGTTTATGCATCCTCTTCGTCGTGGCGTAGTCGAGCTTTGAAAATCGGTCCAGGAGGTGTGTTATCTTGTGTCGTTCGGTCGTCCTTTTGATACGGCATAGACTGGAGTACCATGACCTCTACGTACCATAGCTGCCCCTCGAGCTAAAGAGTTATGTGCCATCAGGATCTCGAACATGATATTTTTCTTCAAGGCCCTCCGAAGGTACCGCACTGATGTCGGAGGGCGTGTTATAGTTGTCCGATTGGACCTACTGTGGAACGCCGCCCCCGGGTTCATGCCAAGCAGAGTTGCTGGGTAAGCGGCATTTGAAGGTGTGAACCGAGACCTGGGATATGGCCGAACGCGGTGTTGTATATAGTTGCACGCATATCGTTAGATGCCACACTAACGTTCTGGCTGTGATATAATTCCTCTGTCTGTGTGTCACCAAAAGTAACAGCGAGAGGATTGGGCCAGATATTCCCGGAAGTGCGGCGGAGACAGGCATTCGACAAAACCCGAGGCTCGGTGAGTCATTCGTCAGCATTGGCAGCGATCAAAGCAAAGTCTATGCGGGCAGAGCAGAGCATAATTAACACCTGCATGCACTATAAGAGTGTTGAAGCTCTTACAAATGTCCAAACAACACAGACGGGAAACAGGCGGTCGCAGTTGTATGCGCAACATGTGCAGTTGAGACCGGATGGGTTACATAGTCGGGGGTCGCACATTTGATCTAACTCAATTCCTCACACCTGATACATGGACTGGTGGGTTCCGCCCATTTAGTTTTTGCAAGTGGCATCACTTAACAGTGGCCAACTTTTTTATCCCGTACTCCTCGCTGGTCTCGCTGGTCACTCTCTGCTGCTCTGCTGTAGTCTCTCTACGCCGCGACGCCTGTCTGTGAGCCTGCCGCCAGAGCAAGAACATCCCAACTTGAGCATTGCTGATGTCCTCATCTGGCGGCCCCGGTCTCGCTTCCTTACCCACCATTGTTTCATCTGGTCCCACCGAAGGTCGGGCTTCTTCTTCACAACAGAGCTCAGTAGTGGAAGAGTGGAAGTCTCGCGAGCGAGGGATCAAAGATCAAAGAGCATCAGGCAGGGACTGTCAGAGAGCCAGCGTCAGTGGCTCCGTGAATCTACCATGAGCTTTCATGGATCCCCCTCTCTAAACTTTAAAACATTCCCTTGCGCGTGTGCTCTCGGGTAGGTGCTTCCCCGCTTCCCTGCTTCCCTGTGTGCAACGCTGTTGTAGTTGCCACACAAGCTTCGCTTGCGCGTCACGGAGATACGTGGCTGGTTTGACACCTCACACGAGGATCAGCTGCTCAGAGGACTTTCTTGGGATAAGAAGGGAGATACAGACCGTCTATCATGCCGGGTTACGAAGAGCGTGCGAGCATCCTGCAGGATCTCGGAGACACGATATTCAAACTCGTGTGCGATAGGGCCACACACCCGAGCAGTGGGCCGAGTGGCTGAGGGCTCCGCTGGAACATGCGGCAGCCACGGGTAACCGTGACCTGGTAGATAAGCTGCTGGGAGCCGGGGCCAACGGCGGTGCCGGCTGGCGGGGTTGTGATGGCAAGACTCTGCTGCATGCGGCTGCTGAGGGCGGCAACGTGCCTGTCATCGCCAGGTTGCGCAGGGCAGGGGCGGGGGGAGACATGAAAGCGAAAACCCTCGACACCGGGCATACACCTCTGGATCTGGCGGTTGTCGGCGGGAAGGCGGCTGCTGCAGAGGCGTTGATCATGGCTGGGGCGGATGTGAACGTGCTCGACTCCAAGAATGACGGCCCGCTGCACCTTGCGATCAAAGGGGGTCATGTGCGAATCGCCAAGGACCTGTTGCTGAGCGGAGTCAATCCTGTTCAGGCACGATCGAGCGGCAATTTCCCCATCCACCTCGCTGCTTGGCACGGCCTAGATGAGGTGGTGTTGGCATTGGTCGAGAAGGGGATTGACCTGAATTGTCTCAACTACAAACGAGGTACTCCTCTCCATGTGGCGGTGAGAGAGAACCAAGTTGCCAACGTGAAAGTGCTCCTGGTGAAGGCGCTGATCCCATCTGCAGAAAATTCGCAGCGCACCGGAACAACGCGCCGCCATCCGAGCGCTGTTCGAAGCCGGAGCCGATATCGAGGGTCCAGGTATCAGGGGACGAACACCGCTTCGACACGCAGCAAGATCTGGCTCCTACGCCGCCATTCTGACTCTCTTGCAACTGGGAGCCAACGTCAACTCGAAGGACGACGTGGGAAAAAACCCGTTGCACTGTGCGTGTTTCTTCTGCCACCACGACGCGGCGGATCTGTTGTTGCGATGGGGTGCGGACGAGACAGCCGTTAACTTAGAGGGAGAAACGGTTGTCTCCATGGTGATACGACGCATCGCTGAAGCCCTCGAAACACGTTGCCCACCCCTTGAGCGTGTTTCCAAGCTACTGGCACGTGCTCCGCAGGACAGGGCTTGGCGTCGCCGGGGCTTCCTGGTCCTTTGCCGTGCCCACCGAGACAGGGTGCGGCTGGCAGTGGAGATCCCTGTAGCAGCAGCTGAGGCTACCGAGGGACCGCAGCAACGCCCGAGGTGCTGTGCTAGGACGGGCAGGTGGAGGTCGGGGTGGAGGTGGATGGGACACATGGAGGCGGTGGTGGAGCAGGCGCGGGTAGGAGTGGCGTACGCGCCGGGATTGGAGCTGTGCGGGAAGGCACCGTCGGTGGGTTCGATGGTGTGTCGGCCTGGATGATGGCACTGGCAGAGGAGGGCGTGTTCCGCAGGATCGTGGTGCGTTGAAGGCGAGTCTGATTGGCCCGTTCCTGTGAGGTGTCTGTTGCTTTTGCTTTTGAAGCGGTGTGGCGTATCTTTTCGTTCTCTTCTGTGTACCGCACAGGCCGGTATTGTTGTCATAACGAACACAGGACAAGCGTCCTACCTTTTGGCGGCATCTATCTGATGGTTGGCGCGGCAAGTTGTGACGGCAAGAATATACCGCTCACAAATCCATACCAATTACTCGCGGTGTGAGGTGGTTGTATAAAAAGGTCTTCACCCGCTCGCATTGCGCTTTCTGGATCGTACTACAGTCGAGGTCCCTCTATAGTGCGGGTATGTGCCAGGCGATTCTGCCCGCACTATAGCGGGCACCCGCACTATATAAATAAGCGCCTAAATAGTGCGCATACCCGCACTATTGGGGG